GAAAAACCAAAAGCAGTCCATAATCCCACATTAAAAATTTTTTCACTCACAGTGAAAGGGTTCATAAGTGTTTTCTTAGTTCAGGCTTTTTCTTGGTGAACTTGTCCCCCTTATTGCTAACCCACATTAACTACTTAGTATGTACTGTTTATGTTTTTGTCCATTTGTTTCCATGACTATAATTTCCATGATTATAATTCTAGCTTGTATGTGTGTGTGTGTATGTGTGGTGATGTGGCTGTGCTGTGCCCTCCAGATCCCCCCCCCCAACTTCTCTGATGGGATTGGCTGAGGCCTTTGTTGCAACTATATCACATCTGAGCCCCTGCCCCTCAGTCCTGCTCCCCACGAGTGCTCACCTCCAACTGCCTCTGGGCAAAGTTCGGTCTGGTCGCTCAGAACCTGGTGGCTGTGGTTAGGCTGCTTTCACGTGGTGTTTGGAGCCTGGCCACCCTTAGGTGGACTGGCACTGACAGGTTCACGAGCTGTAGGTGGAATGCAGTTAGGACTTTGGCTGGGGTGGTTTGTCTGGTAAACCACTGGCCACGGCTGCCCAGGCTGCTGGGACAGTGCTGCATGTGTGAAAAGTACAGGGTAGTGGAAGACAATGGAGTTGCTGGGTGTGGCTGGTAATAGATCCTTGTGAAAATGCCAAAGGCTGAGGATGATTGATTAGCAATTAAAGACTTAAGTATAATAACCAGAGGGCTTCCCTGTTCGCCTAAAAAGAGACTGCCCACAGCCACAGGCCCAGTGTATAGTCCTAAGACTTGGGCTCCAGAGAAGGTTGGATTCTTAGCCCCGGCGGGTGTGCCATCTCAAGGTCAGGGCCCTGATGAGGAAGAAGGACCAGACCCTGAGATGTGGGGTTGGTGCATGTGATGGATCTCACACCTCGCCTCTGGGATCTGTGGAAGTGTCTCGCCCTCTGTTAAGGGCTAGGCCCCAACTGTCCACCCTAGGCTGAGGACAGCACAGGAGGCTTCTGTCCGGAAAGGTAATAAGTGCTCACGCTGGGACTGCTGCCACCTGCCTTCCTGGCACTTAGATCCTGGGCCTGTTGAGGGAGTGTGAGGCTCGGATCCATCAGGTAATAGGAGCCGTACTTCTGGGCAAGGAAAGTTTAAAGCATTTTAGCCAGTAATGGGATTAGCTAGCTGCCAAGGAGTGGAGAAGGCTAACGAATACAACAGGGGTGGATGTAGGAGCAGCTACCTGAGGTAGAGAGCAGAAGAAAGGGACGGAATTGCAATGCCTGGGCCTGCTGATGTGGGCCAGCCTCTGCTGTCCTAGTACAGGTGCTTGGGTGCTTCAGTGTGGCCTAACTGCATGGCGCCCCCCCCTCCCATGGGGCTGACTTAGCCATTGCTTCTGCCATATGTCCACCCTTCAAAGGACCAGAAGCTGTCAAAAGTCCCCAGCAGTGCTGTCCTTTGAGGGTAATAATCAGTCACCTGGTGGCAAGCTGACAACACTGCTCCCCTGGGCTCCCTAAGGTGTTGTGGTTTGTTTGACTGGATTGACGTGTGTTCCAGGCATGAGTTTGTTTCGCATTTGCAGGGCCTCTGAACTCTTACCCAAGGTCACAGAGTATTTGATCCACTGATACACAAACCCATGTGGCGTTGCATTGGATATAGGGACCCACTTCACAGCAAAGGAGTCGCTCATGATTATGGGCCCCATGGCTCCCATCTCAGCCACACACCCAGAAGCACCAACCTGATTGAGTGGCGGGAGGGCTGTAGCAGGTGCAGCTGGGTACCAACTTGGAGGTGATACCCTGCAATGAGCAGTGACCTCCAGGGTGCAGGGTCCCCAGTATGTATATTAGAGGGTCTGCAGACCAAAAGGGGAAGTGACTGTGGCCCTCTTGCCATCACTCCCAGTGTCCCGCTTTGAATTAATTTCTCCCCCACATTTCTAGTCTCTAGGTTTGTTCTTGAATCCCAGAGGGGAAACCCACCAGAGGCATAGGAAGAATACCATTCAGTTTTGAGCTACAGCTATTTGCCTGTCATTCCAAGTTCCTCTTGCTAAGGGGCTGGCAGGCAGGGGATGTGAACCCCATCCTGCCAGGGATGGGCTCCTGGTCATCAGGAGATAGGGCTGCTCTTCTATAATAGGAGCAGGAATCATATACTTGGCACCCAGGCGGTATGATTGTCACCTCTTGAACCCCTGCCAAATTTGTGTCAAATGCAATGGCCATGGCCTGAGAAGGCATGGTGGCCAGAGGCTCACCCCTCTCAGGGGTGAGGTTTGGTCGACTCAGCCTAAGCAACTTACACCAGCAAGATGCTCAGCTGGTGAGGGGCTCTTAGAATCTGTAGCAGGACAGAGATGAATATTTTGAGCAACTCTGAGGCTGGCGGCAGCCACTAGAAGGTGATGTTGTTCATCTCTTTAACCTTCCTTTTAAAAGTTTCCCCCAGGAAGAGGCTCACCAGAATCCGGAAGGAGCTACTCCCAGAGCACATCTGGAGCAAGTGGCAGTGAGCAGCACAGTGTAGTGACCGGCGGTGCAGGACCATCCCGATCTCCTGTGTTCCTGCTCTGCAGTTCACCACCCAGCTGCCGGGAGTGCCTCTGGCTAGCTGCTCGCAATGCAGCTCCTCCTCGTGATTGCCTCAGCTGCTAAGGGCCCCTTTGTCCAAGGTCACACCCCTTTCCTAGGGACAGCCAATCCAGTGACTGGTTGGTGCTGGGTTATAAAGGCCCACCTCCTTGACCCCTCGGGGGATAGCTAGGCTGGGCCATCCAGCTCCTGAGCAAGCCCTGGTAGTGACGGCATCTTGTCCAGTCCTTCCTTCTCGCCCCTAGGGATGGTGATCCTGAGAGCACTCACCAGTAACCTTTCCAAATGCAAACTGCCTCCAGGCTGGCCTCCCAGAGACCAGAGCTGTGCCGCTGTGCATGTGTGACATATCCGTGGGCATAAATAAATAGGGCCATTTTTCTAGAAAAAGGGATCATACATGGCTGGCCTGGCATCTTCCAGGACTAGGAGGGCAAGGATTGTGGCCTCAGAAACCTGGGTTTTCAGCTGACGTGGAGAGAGAAGACAGTGTTTGTACCCAAATAGTACAGAGTGGGTGCAGTCACCTCCAGAACTCATCACTGTTAACCCAACCTGGGCTTAGTTATGGTCATTACAAGTGGATTCCTTAATAATAAAATAATAATAGTACAGTTTCAATAAATAAAAATTAAAAATGGGATCATATTTTCACAGCTTTTTGCATGTACAGGTCAGCTGATAAAGCACTAAGTTGTTATTTTCAGTGGCTTAAGTGATGGTGTGGAAGTTACATAATTTATTGATTGACTTTTCTCTTGATTGGTGTCTGTTATGTTTTCAGTCCTATACTGCCATAAACATTTTAGTTTAAACCTATTTACTGTTGCAGATATTTGTATGAAACAGTCTGGAGTGAGGGTATGGTTAGGTGGTTTGTTTTATATGTTTTTACTGAGATTACACACATACACATGCCATGCATGCATACACACACAGCACTATATTCTAAGTTTATAGCTCAGAATATCACAAACCTTCACCCAGAGAAACAGACCTTAGTAGCAACCCAGAAGCTCCCCTTTGCTGCCTTTGGAACAGGCCTTCTCTTCCCATTTCCCAAGGGTGGTGCATATATTTTTTATTTTAATAGCATTAGTAGTTTGCTTTCCAGAAAGATTGTAACTATTCACACTTGACCAGCAATGCATGAGAGTGCCTCTCCCCCTTCTCCAGTTACGTTTTGTTTGCATTTCCCTGACTACTGGTGACTTTGGTAGTTATCATGTTTACTTGCATTTTGGATTTGCTATTTTGTGTATTATCTCTTCCTATCTTTTGCTCATTTTCATGTTGAGTTGTCTTTTTTCAATGTGTAAGAATTTGTTGTATAATACAGATAATAGCCCTTTGTCATTTTTTGTTCCAAATAGTGTGTATTATTTTCTTTCAGAAGTGGTGCTACTTGTACCATCCCTACTCATTAATCGTCCTTTTCTGCTCAGTTGAAATCCCATCTCTTTGTTGCATATCAGAGTCTGATTAAGTCCTGGGGTCAGTTTCTGGGTTGTCTGTTCTGTTCCAGAGAACTTTTTGTCTTTTCCGATGCAAACACCATATGGTTTTGATTGTAGTGGCTTTGTAGTGTGTTCTGCAATCCAGAAAGGCAACTCTTTGCTGGCAACTTACCTTTCCTGTCTTTTTTTCAGATATTTAGTATTTCATATGTACTCCAAAATTACTTTTTCTATTAAAGAGCCCTATAGGGCCTCTCACTGGAAATGCATTAAATTTACATTTGGAAGGATTAAACATTTTGTGCATATCCTGATGTTATATCTTTCCACTTGTGTAGATACTGTTTTATGCCATTTTGTAAAATTTTAAGTTTTCATCAATTGCCTTGTGCATTTCCTGTTAAATTTATCCTAACTTAACTTTTTTCTATTGTAAATGAAAGATTTCCCCCATTTGTATTTCTTGGTTGTGATCATTGCTGTGGAGGGAACATACATCACAGTAGTTATGAGCAGCATCCCGAGCTATGGTGCCTGGGTTGAATCTGGGTTCCACCACTTATCATGCAGCCCAGTCTTACTAAAATTACAACAAAATTTAAATCAGAAGCTTATGTTAAATATGTTTTACTGAATCTCTAATTGTTCCATTGCAGTATTATTCAGTTTAAGAATTTCCTCAAACCTGTAATACTTTCAAGGTTTCTGCAAAATGTTGAACTTGGGTTTTCAGAATCAAGCATTCAAATGTAAATGCCAACTAATTTTAAACTCATGATTACATAGATCTGTCAATTTGAAGATACGTTACATATATGTTTATTACAATGATAGTATGCATTTTGGGTGTAAATTTTATTGCATTGTGAAGGTTAATGAGTAAACATGATTGTTAAAGGCTATTTGTGATGTTTAGCTGATTATGTGATTTACATTTCATTGTTTCTTTTTTGTGTTTCTAAAAGCTGCAGAACTGGTAAATGAATCTAGTGTTAAGTATTCGGTACTTCTGGAAGATGGGAAGACTCAGTTACTGGAGACAAAGGTAAATCATTGCAAATATGAATAATTCTATACAGGTAACTTTCACTGTTAACAACAAATACTTACTGTCTACTATATGCTATGCCCTTTGAATACAGTGGTTAGGAAAAAGGAACCCTTATTCTCCAGGGGCTTACAGTTTGCTTATAGTTTAATTGTATGAGGGGAGGGGAAGACAGGATTACAGTAGACCTCTGTCTGCAATGTGGTGCCACAGTGGAGGCAGTTCTGAGTGCTTTGAGAGCCTCTGGGCGGTAACTAACCCAGGTTTCATGCTGTTTTGTTTGCTTTTTCTGTTTGTGGGGAGAGGAGTTTGGGACATCTCTGTGAAGTGTGAAAATTATTTCTGAGTTGAGATCCCCAGGATAATTAGGAGCTAGTCAACCTAAAGAGCCCCACCTTTAGAGAGGGAATTTTGAGAAAAATTTTCAGGTTAAAGGAAGAGACCTTGGGACTTTGGGGCAGTGGAAACAGAAGTTCAGAAAGGAAGAGGCACCGATTTCACAATGGATGAGCGATGTAGATTGGGTTTGAGGGGAGACATGAGTGGTCATATCACCCAAGACCTGTATGTAAAACAGCGGAGGTGTCATAGTAGTAAGAGAATGGACTGGAGCAAACTACCTCTATTTAATCCAATCTACCTTAATCTGATTTAAAATGTAGATTAGTGAAGTGGGGAGGATGATAGGACCTGGGTTGATGGGATGATTTTTTGTCCCTGCAGTGGAAGGAGAGGCATCTTCCGCAGAGATGGGAGTATGCAGTCCTTTTTAAGTGAATGGAAATTATCTCTCAGTGATACTCAAACTGTGCTCCTAGGGTCCGTAAGACAGATGTCTTCTAACCTTTTTGCTCCTTTTCTTGCAAAAGAATTTTGAAAAAGCTCTGTCTTCTGACATATTTTTAAACTGACATTTAGAATGTTTCTCACAAGTTAAAGAAGTTTCATAGGACATGATTTCTGATGTACTGATAATACTGATATTCTTCAAACTGTTATATTGTCATTTACAATATACCTACTAAAATCTAAATACTGTACTCTGGTAACTTGATATCTACAGTCATTATTTTGAAAATACGTGAGCAGTTTCTGGACTTAAGATGGTGGCATGAGAGGTGAGACAGAGAACTCTTCCCAAAACCACATATAACATGAAAATATAGTTAATAGAACTAATCCTAAAAGAGCAAAAGGAAAGAAGGCTGCACCAGACTGCATACACCTGGAGAACAGAGCAGACCTCACGAAATGGCAACAGTGCTGCTCCCCTACAACCCCCAATATCACTCCAGGGGCTGAGCAGCTCCAGAGACTAGAACTGGGCACTAGAGGGCGCCACTTACAAAAAAAGAAAAGTCAAAGGAATGCGGTTCAAACCAAAATCTCACAAACACCAGAAAAAGGCCCAAGTGAAACTGAACTCACCTATTTTCCTGAAAGAGAGTTCAAAATAAAAATCATAAACATACTCATGGAGGTACAGAAAAATATTCAGGAGCTCAGGGATGAATTTAGGATGGAGATTCAATAAGAAAATCCATATTTGAAATGAAACAAACAGTGGAGGGATTTAAAACCAGATTATATATGGGAGAACAGATGGAAAATGGAATAGAAATTCAAGAAAAGGAATACAAAGAAGCTGAGGCACAGAGTGAAAAAAGAATCTCTAAGAATGAAAGAATATTGAGAGAACTGTGTGACCAATCCAAACAGAACAATATTCGCATTAGAGGGGCACCAGAAAAAGAGAGAGAAAAGGGGATAGGAAGTGTTGAGGAAGTAATTGCCGAAAACATCCCCAGTCTGGGGAAGGAGATCCACTCTCAGGCCATGGAAGAGCACATATTTCCCAACACAAGGGATGCAAGGAAGACAACACCAAGACATATATATAATAATTAAAATGGCAAAGATCAAGGACAAGGACAGACTATTAAAAGCAGCCAGAGAGAGAAAAAAGATCACATACAAAGGAAAACCCATCAGACTTCTCAACAAACCTTACAGGCCCGAAGGAGTGGCAGGATATATTTAATACAATGAAGCAGAAGGGCCTCAAACCAAGAATACTCTATCCTGCAAGATTATCATTTGAATTTGAAGGAGGGATTAAACAATTATCAGATAAGCAAAAGCTGAGATAATTTACCTTCCACAAACAACCTCTACCATATATTTTGGAGGGACTGCTATAGATGGAAGTGTTACTAAGGTTTAATAGGTGTCTCCAGAGGAAATAAAACCACAGGAAAGAAAGTAGAACAATTAATTACCGAGCAGATGCAAAATCAAATCAACTAGCACCAAAGTCAATCAAGGGATAGACAAAATGCAGAATATGATACCTAATATATAAAGAATGGAGGAGAAAGAAACAGGAGGAAAAAAAACTTTTAGGTTGTATTTGTAATAGCATACTAGGTGAGTAAAATTATACTGTTAGGTAGGAAATTACCCTTGAACCTTTGGTAACCACAAAACTAAAGCTTGCAGTGGCAGTAAGTACATACCTAGTGACAATCACCCTAAATGTGAATGGTCTGAATGCACCAATCAAAAGACATAGAATCACTGAGTGGATAAAAAACAAGACCCATCTATATGCTGCCTACAAGAGACACACTTCAGACTGAAAGACATTCACAGACTGAAAGTAAAGGGATGGAGAAACATTTCATGCAACTAATAGGGAGAAAACAGGAGTTGCAGTACTTGTATCAGACAAAATAGACTTCAAAACAAAGAAAGTCACAAGAGGCAAAGAAGGACATTACCTAATGATAAAGGAGTCAGTCCAACAAGAGGATATAACTATTATAAATAACTATGTACCCATCAGAAGAGCACCTGCATATGTGAAACAAATACTAACAGAATTAAAGGGGGAAATAGAATGCAATGCATTCCTTTTAGGAGACTTCAACACACCACTCACTTCAAAGGACAGATCAACCAGGCAGAAAATAAGTAAAGAGATGGAGGCACTGAACAACACATTAGAACAGATGGACCTAATGGTATCTACAGAACACTCCACCCAAAAGCTACAGGATACACATTCTTCTCAAGTGCACATGGAACATTTTCAAGAATAGATAATATACTAGGCCACAAAAAGTGGCCCAGTAAATTTAAAAAGATTGAAATTGTACTAACCAGCTTCTAAGACCACAAAGGTATGAAACTAGAAGTAAATTACACAAAATGAAAAAACACAAACTCATGGAGGCTTAACAACATGCTCCTAAATAATCAATGGATTAATGACCAAATAAAAACAGATCAAGCAATATATAGAGACAAATGACAACAATAATTCAACACCACAAAAATCTGTGAGACACAGCGAAGGCCATGCTAAGAGGGAAGTATACTGCAATACAGGCCTACATCAGGTAAGAACATCCCATATGAACAGTCTAAGCTCACAATTAATGGAACTAGAAAAGGAAGAACAAATGAGGCCCGAAGTCAGTAGAAGGAGGGACGTAATAAAGATTAGAGCAGAAATAAATAAAATTAAGAATAAAACAATAGAATCAATGAAAGCAGGAACTGGTTCTTTGAGAAAATTAACAAAATAGATAATCCCCTAGTAAGACTTAATCAAGAAAAAAAGAGTCTACACACATAAAGAGAATCAGAAAGGAGAAGGGAAAAATCACTATGGAAACCACAGAAATACAAAGAATTATGAGAGAATACTATGAAAATCTATATGCTAACAAACTGGATAATATAGAAGAAATGGACAACTTTCTAGAAAAATATAACCTTCTGAGGCTCACTGAGGAAGAAACAGAAAATCTGACTAGACCAATTAACCTGCAATAAAATTGAATTGGTAATAAAAAAAACTACGTAAGAACAAATTCCCTGGACCAGATGGTTTCACTGCTGAATTTTATCAAACGTTTAGTGAAGACCTAATACCCATCCTCAAAGTTTTCCAAAAAGTAGAAGAGGAGGGAATACTCCCAAACTCATTCTTTGAGGCCAGCATCACTCTAATACCAAAACCAGACAATGACACCACAAAAAAATAAAATTACAGATCTATATCCCTGATGAACATAGATGCAAAAGTATTCCACAAAATATTAGCAAACTGAATTAAAAAATACATCAAGAAGATCATCCATCATGATCAAGTAGGATTTATTCCAGGGATGCAGGGATGGTACAATATTAGAAAATCCATCAACATCATCTACCACATCAACAAAAAGGACAAAAACCATACAATCATCTCCATAGATGCTGAAAAACATTAGACAAAATTGAACACCCATTCATGATAAAAACTCTCAACAAAATGGGTATAGAGGGCAAGTACCTCAACATAATAATGGCCATATATGACAAACCCACAGCCAACATCATACTTTACAGGAAGAAGTTGAAAGCTTTTCCTTTATGATCGGTAACAAGACAAGGATGCCCACTCTCCCCACTTTTATTCAACATAGTTCTGGAGGTCCTAGCCATGGCAATCAGACAACACAAAGAAATAAAAGGCTTCCAGATTGTCAAGAAAGAAGTTAAACTATCACTGTTTGCAGGTGACATGATATTGTACATAAAATACCCTGAAAAATCCACTCCAAAACTACTAGAACTGATGTCTGAATTCAGCTAAGTTGCAGGATACAAAATTAACACACAGAAATCTGTTGCATTCCTATACACTAATGATGAACTAGCAGAAAGAGAAAGCAGGAAAGCAATTCCATTCACAATGACATCAAAAAGAGTAAAATACCTAGGAATAAACCTAACCAAGGAAATGAAAGACCTACACGCTGAAAACTAGAAGACACTCATGGAAACACATCCTGTGCTCATGGATAGGAAGAATTAATATTGTCAAATGGCCATCCTGCCTAAAGCAATCTACAGATTCAGTGCAATCCCTATCAAAATACCAATGGTATTCTTCAATGAACTAGAGCAAATAGTTCTAAAATTCATGGAACCACAAAAGTCTCCTAATAGACAAAGCAATCCTGAGAAGAAAGAGTAGAGCAGGGGGGGATTACACTCCCAACTTCCAGCTCTAGTACAAATCCACGGTAATCAAGACAATTTGGTACTGGCACTAGAACAGACCCATACACCAATGCAACAGACTAGAGAGCCCAGATATAAACCCAAGCATATATGGTAAAGTAATATACGATAAAGGAGTCGTGGATGTACAATAGGGAAACGACAGCATCTTCATCAACTGGTGTTGGCAAAAGTGGACAGCTACATGCAAGTGAATGAAACGAAATATTGTCTAACCCCATACACAAAAGTAAACTCAAAATGGATCCAAGACCTGAATGTAAGTCATGAAAACATAAAACTCTTAGAAGAAAACATAGACAAAATCTCTTGAATATAAACATAAGCAACTTTTTCCTGAACGCATCTCCTCGGGCAAGGGAAACAAAATAAAAAATGATCAAATGGGACTACATCAAGCTAAGAAGCTGTACAGCAAAGGGCACCATCGGCAGAACAGAACAGGCATCTACAGAATGGGAGAATATATTTGTAAATGACATATCCGACAAGGGGTTAACATCCAAAATATTTAAAGAACTCACATGCCTCAACCCCTAAAAAGTAAATAACCCTATTAAAAAATGGGTGGACAATATGAACAGACACTTCTTCAAAGAAGAAATTCAGATGGCCAACAGGCACATGAAAAGATGCTCCACATCACTAATTATCAAGGAAATGCAAATTAAAACCATAATGAGATACCACCTCACACCAGTTAGGGTGGCCAACATCAAAAAGACTAGGAACAATGTTGGCGAGGATGCGGAGAAAGGGGAGCCCTCCTACATTGCTGGTGGAAATGTAAGGTAGTTCAATCATTGTGGAAAGCAGTATGGAGGTTCCTCAGAAAACTAAAAATAGAAACACCATTTGACTTGGTAATTCCTCTACTAGGAATTTATCCAAAGAAAACAACTTCTCAGATTCAAAAAGACCTATGCACCCCTATGTTTATCGCTATACTTTTTACAATAGCCAAGGTATGGAAGCAACCTAAATGTCCATCTGTAGATGAATGAATAAAGAAGATGTGGTACATATATACAATGGAATATTATTCAGCAATAAGAAGAAAGCAAATCCTACCATTTGCAGCACCATAGATGGAGCTAGAGGGTATTATGCTCAGTGAAATAAGCCAGGCAGAGAAAGACAAGAACCAAATGCTTTCCCTCATTTGTGGAGTATGACAACAAAGCAAAACTGAAGAAACAAAATAGCAGGAGACTCACAGACTCCAAGAAGGGACTAGTGGTTACCAAAGGGGAGGGGTTGGGAGGGAGGGAGAAGGGGATTGTGGGGTATCATGATTGGTGCACATGGTGTGTTTGGGGTCACTGGGAAGACAGTGTAGCTCAGAGAAGACCAATAGGGACTTTGTAGCATCTTACTACACTGATGGACAGTGACTGCAGTGGGGTATTGGGGGGACTTGATAATGGGGGTGAATGCAATAACCACATTGTTTTTCTTGTGAAACCTTCGTAAGACCATTTATCAGTGATACCTTAATTAAAAAAAAATACATGGGCAAGAATTTGCTACATGTATTACATGTAAATACAATGAAGAATTTCAATAATCTGGATTTTTATATTTTCCTTTTTTCTTGTTCATGTATACTTTTCAATGTCACGTTATTTTGTGCTTGGAAATCTTTACTTGAAAACTATATAATTCTCTAATAAAAATATGAGTATAAATTTAAATTTTCTTTTACTGTATGACCAATTGTTAAAACATTTTCTTTCAAAATTATTTTTAAAGTACTATTAATATAGTTTTGTTCAAAACAATAAATACATAAAATCTGAAAAATATACTTAAAAAATAAAGTTTCATTATAAATCAGTCCTATAATAAACTGGATAGAGATTCTTTTTAACCCTCAATTAGTTTGTGAATCTACGAATGAATATTGCAAATTGGTAGACCAAGACAGGAAGATGATTTCTAGTAGATAAACATATTATTAAGTAGTTGTAGTGATTTCATTTCTCTGTCAATGGCTGTCTTGCCAATGGGTTTCAGCCTTGGACAAGTTTGCTATGGATTCAGTGTGACCAAAGAAAATGACAGCAAACGTTCTTTGGGGTGAAAGGGTTTATTACCCGGTTTGTTCTCCCCACAGTAGGTCGAGCACTAGTGTCTCTGCCTCTGGCCAGAGCACTGGGCCTCTCTCTCTCTCTATAGTGCAATAATAGCTTATTGCCTAAAGGTGTGGAAGTGTTATCCTGACAACAGGCCAGTTACTTCATCAGGTGGTTTAAGTTCAGTGAGGATCCTGCCACAGGAACCCCAGCTTCCCCACATGGCCATTACTTGGAAGTTATAAATTATTTATCTTCACTCTTGTATACAGCTGCAACATACTCCCATCCACTGTGTCTCTCACTATCTGTATGATTGCAGCACAGGGCTTGTGGCTGGAGACTTTTTGAAGTCCTGCCTATTCCAGTCCATGATTCAGTTATGTACTCCTACCTGGATTGAGGAGAACCACTGCTCTAGAGGACAGTGTATAGTTTCATTAGGAAATTTGGTCACAGTTAATATGAAGCTGTTTCCCTACTTTACCTTAGACATATTTTACCAGAAATTAGTTTGTTTATAGATCTGTCTTTTCCAATTTTCTTACAGACTCTTAATTCTTTTACAAGCCAGATACCAAGAGCTGCTGTCAAGCTCTGTCCTCAGTCTTCCAGTGTCAGGCCCACAGATCAGCTGCCTACTGACCAAGAGCAGATTGTCAGCTCACTGGGTCCTCCCAGTTTAGTTCCACAGTGTAATCAAGAGGTTTCAGTCCTACAAACCATGGAACACAAAGGAAAACACTTCCTGAAGGAAAAGATAACTAATGAAAAAAAAGAAAGCGTGATTCTTAAAAGAAAACATATTATATGTAGTAATTCATCAGAGAAAAGAAGTAAACCCATGGCTTTGGAAGAACATACTGATGAGGCCAAAGCTTACCTGAATTCTGGGAACTCAAGAGCATTCCAAGGCCATTTTTGTGATACTAGGTATTTGGATGACTTGGAGAAAAGCCAGCTGATTGAAATGCTTAAACAGGCAGCAGCCCTAGTGGTAACTCTGATGTATGAGGACGGTTCGACCCAGCTAATAGGAGCTGACGAGGTTAGTAAACAGTATTGGTATGTGTTTGTTTTGTTTTCTTTGGCACCATAAAGGAAACCCATAAATTAGTGTCTGATTTGATAGGAGAGCTAGAAATGAGGTTTCACACCCTCCCTTTTCCCCAGTGTTGGTGGCTGATGATGCCCAGTTCTCGTCACGTCTTTTTAAGAAATTGCCAAAGTGTTTCCTGGAGTGGCCGTGCCATTTCACGCCTGTCTGCAGTCTAGGAGGGTCCCAAAGTCTCCACCTCCTTGCCAGTACTTGTTCTTTTTTATTTCAACTGAATTTCTAGTGGCGGTGAGATAGTATTTCATAGTGGTTTTAAATTCCATTTTCCTAACAACTAATGACTTCAGTCATTTTCTTGAATGTGCTATTGGCCATTTGTACATCTTTTGTGGTGAAATGACTATTCAGATCTTTTGCTTACTTCTAAATTGGGTTACTTGTGTTATATTTTGGACTCATAAGGGTTCTTTTCATTTTCTGATACAAATCTCTTATCAGACATATGATCTGTAATTCTCCAAAGCTGTAGTTGTCTTTTTTCCAAAGCTGATGGTGGCTTTTGAAGCACAAAAAGTTTTAGTTTGATGAGCTTATCAGTTTTTTTCTCTTATTGCTTGGGCTTTTGTTGTTATATTTAAGAATGCTTTGCTATCCCAGGTCAGGAAAATTTACTCCTGTTTTCTTCTGAGAGTTTATAGTGTTAACTCTTACATTCAAATCTGTGATCCATTTTGAGTGTGGTGTGAGATAAGGGCACAAATCTACCCTTTTGTATGTTCGTACCTAGTTTTCACAACACCAGTGATAAAGAGCCTTCCTTCCCTGTAGAATTTCCTTGGCATTTGTGTTGAAACTCAGTTGACTATAATTTTAAGGGTTTATTTCTGGATACTCAGTTCTTTCCATTGATGTGCACATCTGTCCTTCTGCCAGCACCACGCTGTCTTGATTACTTTGACTTTCTGTGTCTTCCAACTTTGTCTTTCTCAAGACTGTTGTGGGCATTCTGGTTCCTTCACATTTCCATATAAATTTCAGAATTGGCATGTCAGTTTCTTTAACCATCCAACTAGGATTTTGATACAAATTGTGTTGAATCTATAGATTAATCTGGGGAGTTTTACCATCTTAACAGTGTTGAATTTTTTGACCCATGAACGGGGTGTCCTTTCATTTATTTAAAACTTCAATTTCTTTCAGCAGCACTTTGTAGTTTTCACTGTAGTATGCAAATCTTGCCTTACCTTTCATTTTTGAAGACATTTTCGTTTGGTTGAAGAATTATATGTGGACAGTGTTTTCCTTTCAGAAGTTAAAGTATGTTACTCCGCTGTCTTCTAACTTGCTTTGTTTCCCACGAGAAACGTGCTGTCCACCTTCCCTTTGTTTCTGTCCAGGTCATGTGTCCCCCACCCCTCAGTCCTACCTCTGGCTTCTTTTAAGGTTTTCTGTGGATCACTGCTTTCAAGCAATTTGATTATGATGTGACTTTGTGTAGTTTTCTTCATGTTTCTTGTACTTGGAGTTTTTTGATCTTCTTGATTCTGTTGATGAACTTGGGAGACTTCACATTCTTATGATTTTGAGTTTTGTAGTCCTTGAGCATGATATGTCTCTGTTATTTAGGGTTTCTCTAATTTCTTCCATCAGTATTTTGTAGTTTTCAGCATACAGATCCTGTACATGTGTTGTTGATCTCTAAGTATTTGATTTTTTTGGAATATTCATTATAAGTGGTAATTTCTTTTTTTAAAAATTTCATACATGTTTATTGCTAGTGTATCAATACACAATTAACTTTTGTGTTTTGGTTTTGTATTCTGGAATCTTCCTAAACTCATATATTAGTTCCAAAAGGTTTTTGTAAATTTCTTTGAATTTTCTCCATAGAAATTTGTATCATTTGTAAACAGGGACAATATAGTTCTTCTTTTTTGGATTTACATGCCTTTTATTTCCTTTTCCTGTTGTATTGCACTGGCTAAGACTTCCGTCATGCAGTTTAATATGGAGGAGACTGGATTCAGGGAGTCAGATCATGGGTTTGGCTTTTGGCCTTGATTGTCATTGAAAGAGCTGTTCATTTACAAATTTAACTTTAGGTCTTTTCTCGCTGCTTAATTATGAAACATATATCTTTCTTGAGTAAATGCTCTGTTCATGTTTAACTTTGAAACTTTATTGTGTATTCACAGGCTCTAGTTTCCTCTATTAACGGGGTCGTGATGTTACTACACAGCCACGTGGAAGAAGGCGGTGATTCCTTGGACGCCCCAGCCTCTGCCTGTGTTCCGGAGGAAGGCTTCATGTGCAGGGATCACTGTTTCTACATAAAAACAGAGCGCGCTTCCACCTGGGGCCGGGAACAAGAGGCACATAACCAGTTTGCCAGGTAAGAAGTCTTCACTCACTACCTTAAATCCCGCTGACATGCCTGCTTTATCTTAATGTGAAGTCTCCCAAACTCCAATTTTAATTAAACTTTTAGAAGTTTTGTATGGGCACATGATAATGAAATGGATCTGAATGACAGAAACCTCTACAAGCTCTATCCTTCTGCTCCAGGATTTGCATTAACATCTCAGTGAGAAGGTGGTGATGAAAACCTGAAAACCCGCTGTCACTGCCAAACCAAAACACAGTGTCCCAGAGGGTTTTTATCTACTCTTCAGTCTCTCAGCATCAGAAAATTCAGTCATTGGTGCCTTCAGACTGTGAACTGTCCTCAACACCAGCAAGCTTACCAATTTCCAAGTTCCGTTCTGTGAAGATAGGTGAGACTTGTCTCACTTGGACCTGCCTGCTCAGAGTCATAGAATTTTAGAAAAGGCAGGGATTCTTCTGTCTTTCTCAAGCCTTACAAGTCCTGTTGGGGTTGGAGCCTGTGCCCCTCATCACCATTTCTTTGCACTGTTGTCAGTGGCTCATTGGGGGGGCATCTACTTCCTGCCACCCCACCCCCTGAGGTCAAGTCACTTAGCTGTCTGGCGGAGCTCCTTGCAGCCCCTGCCCTGAAGCCTGACCCTTCCTGCCTCATCATGCGGCCTCTGTGCTGGGTGGCTGTCGGGCAGTGGTGTCAGTTCCAGCCTGTGGATGGTGATGCCCTGTTGGCTAGGAATGCCTCAGCTCTCACTGGGGCCCCCATTACTCGTACCGAGACCCACGGAGGTCCAGTGTTATGGCTGGACCAGCCCTTGTGGTTCTTACATGATCTTAGGACATGCTTCAACAAAAACTTTCAGGGAACTGAGGAACAAGGCTGTGGTGCACCTCGGAGCCACACAGCAAGGTCGCGGGTGGGGTGTCTAGGGCTTTGCAGGTTCAGTCTCTTCGGGCTAATTTAAAGTGTAAGAGTGGGAATGAGGCATGGGAGGGAGAAGTAGGGTCACCCAGCCTGTCAGTTATGTGGTCACCAAGGGACCTTCATGGGTGGGGTGGCCTGGTTCCTTATCCAGCTGTTTGCGAGTTGCCGTGCTATACAGCTGACCACATGTCCATTCAACGTGGATGTTTTTGAAGTGGGTGCCTTGGCAGTCAAAGGCTTCATGTCAGACACTCATGCTGCTGTCATTTTTGGTGAGATGTGGACAACATTTGACATATAGAGCACTCTGCTCCCAAGAAACCCATGACCAGTTTTTTACATAATTTGCTTTTGAGAGAATAATTACAAAGAATAATTATTCTGTGGGAGAACTCTGTGAGAATAGAACCCTAATACTTGGATGGCCTTTTGACTTCTGGAATCATATCCTACTCAGTGTAGGATAGTCACTTCAGCCTTAACATGCTCAAAACTGATCCCCTATCTTCCCTGAAGCCTGCCTCCCACAGCCTTGGTTGTCTTCGTTAATATCACCAATAGCCTTCCATGAGCTCAGGCCAAAAGTCTTGGCATTATCTTAACTTCTGTTTTTCTTTCATATACTATATCCCAGCTCTTGGCAAGTCCTGTTGGCTCTGCCTTCAAAATAGAGCTGGAATCTGACCTATACTCACCCTTTCTGCTGCTACCCTTGGGTGCAGGCCTTCAGCTCCTGATCGAATCGCCTCAAGAACTTCCAGACTGGCCTCTGCCTCCACCTGTCCCTCCAGCATGCTTGCAGCACAGCACTGAGAGGTCTTGTTCACACATAAGTCAGGTCACGTTGCTCACATGTTCTGACCCCTTCAGCAGCCCCTGCTTCATTCTGGAGAGAAGCTGGAGTTCCCACAATGGCCCTCCACCGTGGCCGGGACCTTGCCTCGTCTCCCAGTCCCCCTCACTGTTCCTGGCTACGGGCCGTGCACCTGCTGCTCCCTCTCCTGCAGGCTTTCCCAGGTACCTGCATGAACTCACCTCATTCCTTTATGTTTCTCTTTAAACAAACAGAAAAGCAACTTACAAAGACACAAAGGTGGAGTGAGCAGCACACTGAGCGCCAGGTACCCATACATGCAGGCCAAACAGCTGCCTGAGGCTTTTCCCCACTCCATCATCTGTCCTGTTGTAAGAAGGGCCATAGGGAGCTGGCTTTAAGGAAAATCACAGACATGGCCTTTTAGGATACCGTTCTGAAAAACATGAGCTTTATTTATTTATTTTGGTATCATTAATCTACAATTACATGAGGAACATTATGTTTACTAGACTCCCCCCTTCACCAAGTCCCCCCCACATACCCCATTAGTCACTGTCCATCAGTGTAGTGAGATGCTGTAAAATCAGTACTTGTCTTCTCTGTGTTGCACAGCCCTCACCATGCCTCCCCCCCGCACTATACATGCTAATCGTAATGCTCCCTTTCTTCTTCCCCCACTTCTCCCACCCTTCCCACCCATCCTCCCCAGTTCCTTTCCCTTTGGTAACTGTTAGTCCATTCTTGGGTTCTGTGATTCCGCTGCTGTTTTGTTCCTTCAGTTTTTCTTTGTTCTCATACTCCACAGATAAGTGAAATCATTTGATACTTGTCTTTCTCCGCTTGGCTTATTTCACTAAGCATAAAACCCTCCAGCTCCATCCATGTTGTTGCAAATGGTAGGATTTGTTTTCTTCTTATGGCTGAATAATATTCCATTGTGTATGTACCACATCTCTTTATCCATTCATCTACTGATGGACACTTAGGTCGCTTCCATTTCTTGACTATTGTAAATAGTGCTGCGATAAACATAGGGGTACATCTGTCTTTTTCAAACTGGGCTGCTGTATTCTTAGGGTAAATTCCTAGAAGTGGGATTCCTGGGTCAAATGGTAATTCTATTTTGAGCATTTTGATGAACCTCCATACTGCTTTCCACAATGGTTGAACTAATTTACATTCCCACCAGCAGTGTAGGAGGGTTCCCCTTTCTCCACATCCTCGCCAACATTTGTTGTTGTTTGTCTTTTGGATGGTGGCCATCCTTACTGGTGTGAGGTGATATCTCATTGTGGTTTTAATCTGCATTTCTCTGATAACTAGTGATGTGGAGCATCTTTTCATGTGTCT